CGGAGTGTGCTGACAAAGTATGGGTCCATCACAAAACGGAGTCCTTCCTTAGGGTTGTTTTTAGCATAGAAATTGATTATTTGTTCATCGGTGTTCCCATTTTTCATCATTTTTAGGATGTTTTCTTGAATCAGATTTGCCAAGACCAGTACGTCGTCCTTTAATGTGGGGCAATGCCTTGCTTTAAGGAAAGCATTCACTTGTGCCTGGGTTTTCTTCATGGCGAATCCTGTCATGGCGTAGTAAAATGCGGTCGCGTACTTGTCGAAGTTTGCAGCGAGAGTGGCCCAGTCATTGGAGATGTCTCTAAGGGTTTCATAACTTCCAACCCTCATTCCCAGTGCAGAGAGAAGACCATCAAGAGACTTCTTCATTTTCGTCATGGCGTCATCAGCTTGTTGTCGTTTACCGTTCACTTTATGTATAGCGTCGTTCAGTTTGTTCAGCGCTGTTATTCCGGTGTACAGCGTCAAACCAAAGCCGGCCACGGCCAGGGCGGCACCTGCTGCCCCGGCTATAGCTCCTATATCAGCAACGATTCCATCGGCTGCAGCTATTCCAGCGCTGGTCAGGCCATAGGAGACAAGGCCAACCACCCCAACTGTAGTTTGTGTGATGTTTAGGGCCAGGCCAACGTCTTTGATAACTTTGCTGGGATTGCTCAGGTTCAACTGCAGTTCGTCATTAAGTTTGTTCACAACATCAGTTGGTAGTTTTCTCATGCTCTGCTTCAAATGATCGAGCCGAGTTTTAACGATCTTGTATACATTCTGGTAGAAATCGTTCGCGTGATCGATGGCGGTCTGTGCACTTTTGATGGCTGATTGCAGTTCCTTTTGCTTCTTGTCTTCTTCGACAGAGAAGGCGACGTCACTTGCTAAAGTGGCTGTAATGGCAACTGCCGCTATTGCAATACCGACACCCATGATTTACAGAACGAAGAAATGGGCTCTCCTCTCAACTCGATCGAAAGGAGCTAAATGAGTTTGTGTTGTGAGTACGTGTAATATTAACCAGTTGTGTATTTGTTGTCATTAACACAAAGCTAGCTTTGTTCCGAGGCAATGACGACAATGAAACTCTTCAGGGAATTAACTCCAAAGAGTTCATCAAATTAGCATCAATGACCCTATTACAAAATCTTTCCTTCAAAATTTCCTTTGGTATAGTGAACTCCCCTATAATCTTAGATTTATGTTTCCTCAATTTGTCTTTATATTTTAAGACGACCATCAGACCTTCCTTGTGAACCTCAGCGTTCGCCATTTCACCTGCCTGCAATTTAAACGTGAAACTATGCAGATTCGCTTGGCGTAGATCGTGAAAATCAGTCACGCACATCCGGCGGATTGTTAGTTGTTGAAGAACCCACGCCAATTAACGTACGTACTTCTCCTTTAATGTCACAGCTTGTAAACATCAACAACTCGGTTCACAAGCAGCTTTTTATGAAAACACACTTATCTGCTTTGGAAACACGCTAGGTTGTGTACCTCTTTGCCGAACAGTTTTCAAGTCTCCTCACAATTCATCTGAGGTCGTTTGCAATGGAAAGCCAGTATAATCAGTTACTTTCTCTATCGAAAACCGTCGGTGCCTTTTACGAGGATGTTTATGCCCCGGTTCTGCAGGCGTTGCCGTGGATCGACGACGGAACTGGCCTGAAGACAGCCAGCGAGAAAGTTCTTAGTAACATTACCTTTCCAACCTATGAACTTTCTAACTACAAAAACCAGAAGGCAAATCAGCAAACAATCGCCAAATTGCGCCAACGCTGCGACGAGCTGGAGTCAATCTATCATACAATGCAAGACGAACTACGCCCATTGCTCGAGAAACTGCCTCTAAACGATCGCAGCTGGGAAAAGTTGAAAGAAATGGTCCCAAAATGGAAAAACCTCAACAGTTCGGATGCGCTTCCCTTAAGCATGCATCAGGCTGTCGAAGAGTCATTCTTTTCCAAGAATATGTTGATGGTGATGTCTGCTACAAATTTTACAAGACCAGCTGCGCCTGCAGTTTCACCTGCTGAATCTGTGCTCGGGAAGCTGATGGCTGAAAAAATTAAGTCCATGCACGCGCAGGGAAAGAGCGATCATGATATTGCAGTGGAATTTGGTTCTCATGGACTTTGGCTGGAAAGATCTTTCCTGCACGCGATTCGATAAAAACTGTTTATTAGTCGTCTGCTATTCTCAAGTCTCGGGTCTTATAGGCAAGTGCTGATCTGTGGAACTTTTATTGAATATATTACTTGATATAATTCGATTTTGTCTGTATTACTCATTTGTTATTTTAGACCACAATAAAAGTCAGCGATGATTCAGCGTTTTCTGTTAGTATCTGTCTATTACTTTCAGTTGGTTTTAAGTGGATTGCAAATTGCCGATTGCAATGGTGTTGTGGGCGGCAGTAGCCCAATAGTCCTCTGTTTCATTCATCTCTTCCGCGCTATCAGCGTGTTTTCCTGCGTACGTGAGCTTGTTTCACAGTTCAGTGGACATTGGTTTGCAAAGACGTGCCCATGTAAGTGATTCTTCTACGTGTTCAAGCTAAAATTCTTACGGCCTAATACTTGAAACATGAACTTTATAATGTTCGATTTGGAAAAGTTAGCGACTATCAGCCTTGAGAGCCTCTTGGAACTGAGTTACTCTTTCCCTCTTAGGCGTCTAAAGAGCACTTGCAGGCGCATAACCTTCATTCATATTCATCGAGCGACTTAATGAAGATCGAACAAAGCGAGACTGTTTCCCCGCAATGGAACTGGAAACTAGCCGGAAGTAAGTTGACCCATGATATCCAAGTATATATATATATATGTCGTAAAAGGCGATAAAAAACGTACGGCATCGATAAGGTTGTTACTAAAGCGTTTTAATGGCTATGTCCATGGAATTAAATTGAATTTTTTTTTCCATTTTAACTTGATTGTTTATCAAAATTAGTGATTTTGATTTATCAGCAGTGAAGCACAAGCTTATTGGCAGAGGCCTCAATCCCACTTCAATTCACCAAACAGGTTCATGGGAAATCAATGTTTGTATCACTGCATGGATATTCAAACTAGATGCAAGATTTTGACCTGATGCCCTTTTTTTATACTGTTTTTTCTTTTAACTGCTAATCAGATACTGTTAATCAAGTTTATATCGCACGCAAAGGACATACGTGTAAACTGTGTGAATGTTCTTGGGAAAATAATTATGATAAACTCATCTGCGCTATGATTTGTTAATGCATACATGTTTTTTACTCTTTAATTTTAGCTACTTTCATAAAAAAAAAAAAACAAACAAACAGACAAAACTGGCCCAGGTGAGGTCTAATAAAGAAATAAAATAGGTGAAGAAGGCAAGGCTTTAGCTAGTAAGTTTGTGAAGTTTCCTCTCAAATCATTGGAAAGTATCGAAGTCGTTTTGTTATTGTCTCGGAGAGGGCTTTCTGTAATTTTCGAAAAGAAACAAAATGAAAGAAGGTTATTTGTGAGATTAACTTAAATCGGCAATTTGCAAAAGGGAATTGGAAATTTGTAATTTTCAAAAAAAAGGTAATTCTGTAATTTGCACTTGTGTTGATTTAATGAATCAATGCATCGGCTATGTGAAAAAAATTTGTGTCCTTAAGCCATAAAAGACAAACCTAATTTTATCCAGCGTTGAAGCTGTGCTGTTTAATCGTCAATGTACGAAGTGGAATGCGTGACACGACACTTAACTTAAAGCCGGAAAACTGTGTATCTGAAAAGAGAGAAGATTGCACTGTACGATTGTATCAACAATGTTTTTATAGTAAAGGTGCAAAAGTTAAAATTGCGATAGTGCATATGGATTCTATTCTATAAGTAAGGACTAAGGACGCGGCGGCAATTCCGTGATCTCTGTCGTCTGATAAAATCAACGACAAGAGGAAGATAGATAAATTTAGTAATGGTATACTGTCTACACAGAGGGAAACGTGAAGCAACTGAAAGATGATTCATGATAACCGGTGAGTGTCATTTAGCGCTGGAACAAGTCGACTTAAAGGCACACGCGTGACTCATATTTTCAATTACAACTGAAGTCCAGTGTTTAGGTGGCAGTTTCGCATTCGCATGACAAAAGAACAGCCCAGCTCAAAAATTTTGACATAAAAATAGTCAATCGAAAAACCGCTCAAAAAAATTTGTATGGTCCGGTAAAAACTCCATCAATCAGTAGCATTTACTTCTTTAACCACCTCCCACCCCTCCCTGCGTACTAATAGTTCGTCTTCCACCCCTCCCTGAGTAACAATGGTCTGCCTCTCACCCCTCCCTAAGTACTGATGGACTGCATCCCACTCCTCCCTGAGTCCTAATGGTGGCCCCCCCTCGATCAATGGTAAAAAAAATGGTCCAAAAAATAGTCCAAGGGTTCCATTACCAAGTCCATACTTTTCCATATGCCTATATCTCATCCCAATCCGTTTGATTACAAAAAAATAAAAAAAATAAAAAAATAGCTTCGCTGACCGCAAGTGACGTTGAGCCCAGTTCTTGTGCAAGTCCTCTGTTTATGTTCACCAACCTCTCGCATTAGATACGATTTAAAATGGTTTGCGGATACTGTTTTATTTGTAACAACTTTAAATCCAGAATTAATTGGAAATTGGTTAAGTAAAATGTTAACTTTTAAACGAGAACAGACGCCCGTGTTTAGCTTGAAAACATGAAGACCGATATACCTCAGATAACACCTATTACGTCTGCAATTGGAGTTCACATTGAAATTAATGGCACCCCATGATAAGCTGTTAACCAAAGCAATGCTGTACCTCAAGTTCCTATAATACAGTCAGCAATTGTCGGATATCCCTGCTTTTAGTAAATTGCTACACAACTGTGCAGGCGAATAAGGAGTTAGTTTATTGTCGCAATTCAGCTGAACAAATGATCTATCACGCTGAGAAAAAGAAAGCCATGACATAGCTGAGATTCCGCGTCACGCCCCTGACAAGATATTGGTCGATGACATATTTATATCTAGGTCACAAGCAGCTTACCTCGGCTGTACGCGGGTAGTGCAGGTCCTTGTTCGGTTGCTTTGGCATAGTTTTAGGGAGTTGGCTGTTGGAAAATTTTCTTACAGAAAGCAAAATGGAGACAATTAGGAAGAAGGTTGATATGCTGCGAATAAGTCTGAATGATGCAGAAAGGAGAGCAAATGAGTCTGAAGAATGCTTAAAGAGTGCCAAAGAGAGGAATCTAGCCGTAAGAATCCTTATTAGATTCTGTAGTTTTACACTTGTTGAAATACGCTTGAAACTCTTCCATTGTCTTATTCTCAAGCGAAACATCCTTTATTTTGAGCTACAGACACGATTTAATGCCTCTTGCTTTTAGGTTATGTGAACAGAACTGTCGATCAAATTTATAAACAATTTGTAAACTGTTTGTCATGGTTGCGTTTTTATGCTTTCCGCAGGCAGAAGATGAAGTCAAAAAACTAACCCATGACCTTCAAGAAATTGAAGACCAACTAGACGCTAAAGAATCTCAGCTGTCTGAAGTTACCTTACAGCTTGAGGAAGCCGAGCAAACCTCAGATGAAAACGAAAGGTACTAATTCGATAGTTCATAAACTAGCAAAAATCTCAAATTAACAAATACAAAGTGACTTCAACAAACATGACAACAAGCATTAAATATGAGTGCGTTCTTGCTTTCTATACCAGATTATCAATGCCGAGTTTTAATGCAACTTCTCTGTGTTTTCAACACTTTATCGTATGTGTTTTTTTCGCGTCCGCAAGCATGCATTTAAATTACAGTAAACAAAGGTTATTCTACAGATTGAAGGAAGGTTCTTTTTGGTCACTCTGTTCTTGATTCCAGACAAATTCCGAACGATTTGCATTTCTTTAAGTCTCCAAACCATTAGTTACGAATGGTAGTGAATATTCCGCGCCCATAGATTTCTCGGCGCAAAAATCTTGCACAGTTTCGGTTAACAGAGTTTTTGACCAAGTCATTTCGTGACAGTATGATAAATAAAGCAAACTGATCCAACCGAGTGAGCAGCCCACGGACAGAGGTTGTCAAATTAACTTCAATCTATCGGCATCTAAAAGGCCTCCACGTTTATATAAGCAGCACTAACGAATATCACTCCCAAGAAAATTCTTAGTGGATTTTTTAAAGGCAAAATTAGAAAGCATTAACATTGATAATTATATACTATCGGAAGAAATCAATTCAAAGGACCGATTTTTCGGTTCGTTTGGCGCAGTTAGGGTGCAATCGTCTCAGCCAATTACATTCGGGATAAACCTGACCTTCCAAAATTAATCAGTGATGGGATATGTTGACGTGCTGTTGTCAAATTTGAATTCCTGCCTCTTGCAAGACTATTACGTTTGTAAATGATGGTTATCGGCGATGGTTATATGCACCTTTCACACTCATTATTTGTCGTCGATCGTCTTTTAAGAAGCAGACCGATTGAAAACCGGATAATTTCAGTTATGCATCAGCTATAATACACAAGAAATGGAACTGTGATTGCAAAATCCTGATTCCTACCAGTTTCAACTTAAACCCGGAATTTTTTTAGCATGAGTTGAACGATTCTTTTAATAAAAGTTATGTTGCCATTTCTTTTCTACCAAGCCTGACATTTCAGTAATATACTTCAGAATTTTCCCAAATTGACCAAAAAGAAGTGTATAATAAAAACTGCAAGTGCGCGACGAATATAAATTCAAACGCGCCTCAAAAGAAGCTATTTGCCAATCTCTACCTATCCTTTTCGACTCTCAAATCTCTTCTTGACTTCGTCACATCCTTTATGCAAAGTTCTCAATCGATTGCCAACCTTCAATGACGACTACTGAGCTACGTCACGGTCCGTGAATCCTAAAAAAGTTACCAAAATGTTTTCGAGTTTTATATGTACAATCTTCGTCAATAACCCTAACCCTATGCAATATTTCCAATCTTCGACCATTTTCATTTTTTTTCTATTTTTCCCACCCTTTGATGTTTGCCTGGGCACGAACAAACTACTTTTTTGAACCTCCACTCACGGAAATTTTCGACGCATATTTTTTATACTGGGCTAAGGGTGCTGTCAAGGAAAATTTGTTTAACAACCGAGAGCTTCCTTAGATGGGGTTCATTTCATTCATTCTCGTGACCATAATGTTTCTATTTAGGGGTGATATTGTAAGGAGAAATTAGATGCTGGTCCAACTAACGGGTCAAAGGGTTACGCGGTAAGAGAAAAATGGCTATGATAAATTCTCACAAATCCTGACAATATATCTTGTTGTTGATTTCTCTTTGCAGAGTGAGGAAGGTCCTGGAAACTAGGGCCATGGGTGACGAGGAACGAGTTAGTATTCTTTCGTTCTTTCTTTTGCTATTGTGCTACCGATTTTTACAGATACTTATTTAATCGCGGTTGTTGTTTCTCATTAGCAAGCTCAGTTTGAAGCCAAGTTAGAGGAAGAGAAGGAGAGGCACGAGTCTGCTGAAAGAGAGATTGAAGAAGTAAGAAAGCAATTGTTCATGTACCCTCCCTTCCGTGGGACTTGCGTTATTCACGTATGATGACAAGTATCCAGGCCTGACAAGTATCATTAATCATAAATTGATTTTGGGTGGGGGAGGGGGACATGTGGGTGAAAACAATCGCCACAGATAAAGTTTTTGTATTATTTTGGGGGGTTTGTTCCCTTAAAAAAATGCACCTTCTTGCTTAGAGGTAGAGCGAAATCACTTTCTCTCCCTTCTCGCCTTTTTCGGTTCCCCCCTATGCTCCGGAGGTTTTGATAAGAATTCCCCCTACAAGTACTTCAGATCTGTCTATTTGTTTCGTAAGCACGTCTGCCATGATTGTCACACGAACTGTCGGACTCTTTTCGTGATTTTTACACGTCAGAGGGTTTTTTCACTAATCATAGATAAGAACCCTACAGAAACTTGTAGATGGCGGAATAACATCTTAACTTCTTTTTATCTTTCTGTAATATATCACTTATCAATCAATCTCATACACAGTTGGAGGCAAAGCTTGCAGAAGCGGAAGAAGAACTCGATGAATTGGAAAGCCGCGCTGAAGACGCAGATGAGTGAGTTTTAAGTTGAGATGTTTGACCTCAATTATTCAGTTTGAAGAAAAGGCAACGATCTTAACGTAATGTAGACAGAATGAACCTTTTAGATCACTTAATTTCAAATTATTTTTCTTCACTTTGATCGTCGCGCAACGTGTGCTCTCCTTTGAGTTGTAGCACGGAACAGAACAACACCTCGACTGCATGCATTGCATGCTTCATTTCACAGATTTCTTTGAAGGTTCCAATTCTTTTTGCTTAGTTTGCGAGACAGTAGTTGTTTTGTTTTCCTATGGAATTTTGTGCGGGAGATAAGCGCACGGGCGGCCAAATCCAGTCGAAGGTGATCACCCCGCGCATGCGCCATCTTTGACCGCTCTGTTCTCCGTCGCAGCCTTCCTTAAGATGTCACACAGCGAAATGCAGGAGACGGTTGCGTTACATTATAAATAACGAATGCTCAGTTTAATGATTATTTTATTTTAATCTTTATAAGGCGACTCAAGGAGCTGGAGGAAGAATCCAAAACAGTCGGGAACAGTCTCCGTTCTCTGGAGGTCCAGGAGTGCGATGTAAGGCGTTAGCTCTTTTGTGTTCGTTACTAGATAGTTTGCATAACTAAAATTTGCATGTACATGCGGTGTATGTTGAAGTGCCGGTGAGTAGATGTGCAAAATGTGTTGTTTTTGTTGGTGTTTCTTTGATGTCAACTTGAAAACCAAGGAACGGAAATTGTAAATGAAATAGTGGTTAACAAGATACGAACAATGAAAATTAAGCATCGTTGATTGGAGAACAGAAATGGAAATGAGAAAATGAAGAACGGAAGACCGGAAGACATGGAATGAGGATCCGTGTTCAGGAGTTTTATGGAAAGAAAGTGTCGAAGTCTAACCCAGTTTTAACTTAAATTAACTGATACTTTTTAAAACCGATGCTATCTCTTTTTTCAGGGAAACAGACGAATTCAGGAGTTAGAAGAAAAGATAGAGAGAATCGGGCGAGAGTATGAAGAGGTGAGAGTAATATTAAAAGCTATTATTTGTTTGAATGATTGTCTGAACGAAGAACTTGTAAACTATCTTGAGGACAACATCGGATATTTCACCAACATCAAATTGTCATCTTGGTCCGAACTGTTGGCCAGCACTGTGAGGAAACTATCTGCTCTTCTGCTTGAGTATCCCTAGAAAGCAAAAGACTCATCCCTTGGTTGCGAATTTTTTTAATCTGATTGGAAAATTTTTTCGGCTCAACAAAATAAGTTGTCGTTGTGATTATTGTTGTTATTATTATTACTATTATCATTTTTCTCTTCTCATTATTATCATCATTATTATTTTAACGCGGAACACTTTCAATAGTCCCAATATCCTTCTCTTCACCAGAGGGCTCTAGGAACGAAATTTGACTCACGCCTAATACGCATTTATCGGCTCTCCATTCATTTCAGTCGGTAAAATGAGCATTTCAGCGGTCTGGGGATGATACACACCTTGTTATTTGTTAAGAAGCTAACCATTTTGTTAAATTTTTAACAGACCTGTCAACGTGCTGATACAGCTGAGTCTCAAATTGCGGATTTGGAAAGAGAAGCTGACCAACTAGATGGTATGAACGCTTTTTTCGCTAATTCACAAATGAATCATGGCCAAAGACGATCAAAAAAATAATCACCGTACTTGATTGTAGAAGTCAAGAGGACACCAGAGGTTCACAAACTAGTTAAGCATTTTGTTTTTACCCTCAGCGCACCCCTCTGAGGGATGGAAGGGTTGTAACTGAACCCTCCCGTATTAGTCGAACCACTCCATCTCAAATCTATCGCTGTTCTTTTACTTTGCAGCTGCCTTAGAGAAAATAAAAGAGAAACATGCTGAGGCGGAACAGGAGTTGATTCAGACTATACAGGAGTTTGAGGAGATGTAAAACAAGAATCATTATGATCAGTTTAATTTGACATTTTTATGTGATTTGGCTCATTATATGATAATTCGGTAGAGAGGTGTTTCATAGCCATGATCGTAAGCCTTTTTGAAATAGCTCTTTTTGAATATGCTATGTACTTCGGTGAACTTTTTCGATGGTCTAATAAAAGCATTGTACTTTGTCATAAATATCAGGCAAAAATATCAGCCTGAAAAGTGGGTGTTACTTTGATTTTCAGCTTTTATTTGTCAAAGGCATAATTTTGGTCGCGGTATATCAGAGCCGAGCAATAACTAGCAGATACAGTGGAAGGAAATGGCACCGAAAACGAAGCTTAAATCCATACCAACAACACTTAAAAACCAATTCACTGAGAAAAAAAAGTCAGTTTGGGGCCGTTCACCTACTGGCAACCCTTTAAATCCGCAATTTTGAGGTATGAAAAGTGCTACAGAGAGGGGGTTGGGGAGGGGGGTATTTCGTACTAAAGTTTCTTTGACATGGCAAGAATTCGATTCCTTCAGTTGGACAGTCTAAGTATTTTCCATGACTTTGCTTTCACAGTGTTTTTTGTTTTTGTTCTATCTGTATTCTTTGCTTTTCTCTGTAGGCTACCCTAGCCTAAACCCAACCAAGTTTCATCATCACTGTAGACATTTTGACGCCTCTGAAAGTGACCCGCCTCCGACTGACCCTTGTCAAACTAGAGAATTCTGAAAACCAAGTGCAACCTCACGGCCAAAAAAGAAATTTAGTTCATCTATAAGTATTTTCGATCACACTTAAATACTTCAAGTCTCCGATGTAAACTTTCCTCGAATCCTTCTGTTAATTCTTTACTTAATCAAATCTGGTCTTTTGTCAGTTTTTGTTTTTTCTTTGCGTGGCTTGAAACAAAGTATTGATTAAGGTAACTCAAAATGATGCTATCTTATTTGTCTTCATTCATGGGATCAAAAAGAAAATCTCTTTCCGTTGAGTATTCCCATTAAAAATTTTTTTCATCTAGTCGCCCGCACGTGGGAATATTATTATTAGACGTCTCCCAGATAGGGTTATGTACATAAGGCGTGTCGAAAGTAATTTGATTAGGTCAAAGTCTGTGGAAAGCGGCTTTCATACGACCGTATTGGAATTCGAAGTTTCTTCATCCCACGAGGTAAGCATAAATGATCTCAGTTTTCTCCTCTACAGAAAACATGGGAGCACAGAAGAATTGTGAATAGACAAAAAAAGGTGGTTTTGCGCATTTCTCCCAGAGATCCCAGCCATTAGAAGTGTGTACTTAAGTACCTGAAGAACATGATCGAGTGCTCGATTTGATTCGTTGTCAGTCTGCATTGCAACATTTAATGTAAATACAGCTTTAAAACAAAGCAAATTTCCGTTAGATGAGCTGATTATCCAGGCAGTTTTGATAGTCTCCGAATGAGAAATTTTCAGGTTTCAAGCTGAAGCAGTTTATTGAGAGCACTACCCAGTTTTGGCGGGAAAATGGCTTCGTCATCAATGCGCCCATCTAGTATCACAGCGTACCACCAAAAAGTTGTTTCGCGAACGCAAGAATCAGGTACTTTGTAAATTCGTGTAAATGAAGCCCATTTTTCACTTGCGCTTCTTCACATTTCGATTGTTTCTATATCTGTCGGTCAGACAACCTGCTTAAGTGTTCTACACGTGCTCCAAAGAACTGCAGATAACTACTTCCGTGTATTCACGATTAGTTCAAATTCAGAGGCCGCTTATGAACTTTTTTAAAATGTGAATTGTCAAAAATTTGACTGGTTATTCAACTTTGATTCGGTGATTGTCCACGTCAAAATAGCTTTTGAACTGTTCTGTAATCAGGGAAAGTGATGCCCACAAATATTATATTTTTCTTTAAGTAAGGTCTGTTTAAACAGTTATCTTCTCTATAAAGATAAGATGCAACATCTATGATTTGCGGAAGGAAAAATTTCGCGGCGTTCATGACCTAGGGGTAAATATGTCACGCTTGGAAGTCACGCTTTCTTTGCATTCGTCGGAAGACTCCCCTTAGAAAGCACTGTCACGCTATCTCAAACTTACCCAGATGCGAGACGCTCTAAAAACTTGATTATATCAAGCTTCATACTTTATGAACCATTAATTTCTTGATTAAAAACTACTAATGTTGACTGCAAATATTATTAGATCTTATATTTTAATACAGGATGCAGGTTTCATGTAACAATAGACCGTTGCACTCAGCGTCCTCAGTGGAAGTTTGGACAGAGTACGGTATTCAGGTTTTGAATAGAGTTTTCATCAGAGGAATACCAAATAAAGTAAGCTGATTTTACAGTCACAAATCCATTGACATTACTCAATTGCAAAGATAAAGAATTTAATTAAAACTGTCAGATTACCAAACTTATGTGAGTTTTCTTCTTGAAAGTCCTTCTCAACAGGTGGTCTTTTTTTTTCCATTAGTTCACTTCCTGAGCGAAATTATGCATTATTTCCCAAGTGGGCTGGGCATGGTACATCTGTAACCCACATTGATGAGATAATTAAGTGCAAGGGAGGGGATAGAGAGGGCACAAGAGCTGTTTCTTTTATTGCCCTTAGCAACAATTCACAGACTATAGATTTGTTAATCAACATTTTGAATTTTCTTTTAATTTCTGTCATAGATGACTGAGCTTCAACTTGAAATTCTCTTTGGTGGTATGGGTTTTGAGGTACAGAATGTGAGGATTGTTGAAGACCTCAGGAGTGGTGCAAATAAAGGGTAAATAAATCTTTACTTATACTGTTTTAACAATTCCCAGTACTTTCCCCAAAGACCTAACACCAGTATGTATGTTCTCCATACAGTTCTCTATACATTTCCTGAGGTGCTGACAAGGAGAATTTGTTTAACAATCAAGAGCTTCTCTAGTTGGTGATCATTTCCTCAATTCTTGTAACCTTGATGTTTGATCAAAAGTTAATATTGTAAAGAGAAATTAGATGCTAATCACTCTTAGCAGTCAAAGGAGTAAGGTTCCATTTTCTTTCATAGATATGGTTTTGTGACATTTCACACTGCAGAGGAAGCTCAACGAGTGAGAGACATGGTAAGACTGACAGTTATCTCCAACTGCATGTTATCTATGTGAATCTTTTAACTTGATGGTGTAATGCCTTAATGAGAGCCTCATTAGGGCATTTCCAGTCAAAAGAGACTCAATAATCATTAGGTTAACCTTTAACCCTTTCCCAGAAGTGATTGACATGTAAATTCTCCCTGTACTATTTATGCATTCTCCAGCACATGATAATGAGAATACTAAAGTTTATCAGGTTAAAATTGTCATCTTACTCCAATTCCAAATTCTCGTAACTAATTTTAAAGGAAATGTGAAGCGGTTAGAGAGGAGAATTTACAATCAGATCCTGGGAGTTGAAGGGTTAACACCCCATCATTAACATCCATATTCTCAATACTTTTCTTTAACATTCCCTATGATACTGAAAGGGAGAACTTGTTTGACCACAAGGAGCTTTCTAAGTTGGTGATCAATTCCTTTATTATCATGACCTTTACATTTGATTCAAGAGTGATACTGTAAGGAGAAATTAAAAGTCAATCACTCTTTGGGGTTTAAGGGATAATGCACATTTGGTGAAATTATTTTATAGGGCTTAGTGCAATGGAAAGGAAAAACTCTTCAAGTTGATGTAGCAGTCAAAAGAAAGGTAATGACCATGCATTGTTCACAGGGAACTAGGAAAATTAGCTGATCATCTGTGACACCCAACTCAAAATGACCCATCAGAACTTAATTGAATTTAACTGTCATGAATGATCTGCATTTGTATATTTAATTGGAGGGGAAAAACAGAATTTAATCAGGTTTTTTTTTATTCAGCCAGTGATGCAGGCCCTTCAACAGAGATATGCTGTGACAGCAGGACAGCCATATGTTGTGCCACAGAGGACCCAGCCAGTTTACATCATGGCCATTCAAACAGATACAGGGTGTTCAGTACCACTGGTCATGGATGGAGTTGTAAGCAAAAACAAGTTTTGTAATTCTTTGTTCTCAATGTTGTTTTACTGTGGTTACGGTTATGCAATCAGTAAGATGGAATTTCACATCACTGATTCCAATTTTTTAGGTTCCTTTTCAGATGATACAATATTCCTTATTCATGTTAAACAAATTGAGGAAAAAATATATCAACATTTGTATGTATTCAAGTGTGAGAGCAAAGATATACCAAACAACAGAAATGAAAGAACCGCTTACTGGATTGAAATTTCTCAAGAATATTTGTTTTAAATGACAAAATTCCTCACCAAAATTACTCCTTGATATTTTCCTTTTTTTTGTTTTGAGGTGTGGCAGCCATAGTTGAACCAGTGATTGGAGCAATAGAAACAAGATGCAACAAGAAGTTTATCATAGATTGTAACAAGTGCTGGGAAAAGATTCTGAGTTGTTGTGTTTTTAACGGTTAAATTAGGATCAATAAAATTTAATGGCTAAATCAGGATCAACAAAATTTAATGGCTAAATTAGGATCAACAAAGTAGGAGGAAATTGCGACCATTATTAAAATGTATTTCAGCTGCTAAGAATGTTGCAAAGTAATTGACTTGAAATATGAGGAATGTTTGGGAGATACTATGGATCAGTTAAGAGAACCTTTGTATCTAATGAGTAAGTAGTTGTAGCTAAGATGCAACTAGTGGATGTATTGTTTAGACTATGTATGAAAGAAAAGTAATGATTTTATAGTTGAAATTAAATGCTTCTTGCCTCAATGTATGACTGTTGTTTGTTGAGAAAAAGGGTAAAATTGATATAAAACAATAATAGCCAATATACAGTCTCATTTTAAAAATGATGGATTCTCTAAGTGGAAGGAAGGTGAGGGAGGAGTGAGGGCTGGAAGGGGGGGGGGGG